AGCAATATCCCTGGGCTCTACTCACCAGTTGCCAGTAGCACTCCCTTCCTCCAACTGCGATGACCAAAAATGTCTCCAGATATTGCCAGATGTTCCCTGGGGGACTAAACAGTTCCTGGGTAAGAGCTCCTGCTCTAGATGCTGACAATTGAAAAGAAATTTGCTCTTTGGAGGAATGATTGACAAATACAAACAACTGCATTAGGGGGCTCTCCCCAACTATAAGGCTTGTTCCAGTGTCCTGTCTACCAGCCCTCGGCCAACAGGGGATGCTTTCTGGATGCTTTTTCTCCTATAGTGGCACCTCTACCTCCACTCTGCATATTCTACAGTGTCATTTCTAGATTATAAACCATTACTTTTAAAATTAAGAGTAATTTTATAGTCCTGTGCCCATTGTAATTCTCTAAGTATGGCACTCAGCCCAGAATCCGAGCAACTGGGTTCGCCATAAATGCTTTGTGGCCACTGACTCTGATATACAAATAAAGTACCAGGCAATTCAGTTCAGCCAGCATTAACCTGGCATCTTTAAGTTCTAGGAACTTTGGGGGCATTTTCTCTTTTAATTTCAAGGTTGAAGTTATGGCCACCATTTTATAGATGCAGTCATCGAGGTTCAGAGAAAAACTAAGTGACTTGTGTCCAAGATCACACAAGTGGCAGAGCTGAGATTTGAGGATGAGTCTCATGTCCTTTCTTGACTTTTCAGTTAACAGTGTCTCCCTTAAGCTGCTATAAGGGCTTACCATGGGCAAGAACACTGTGCTGGATGCCTAAAATAGCCCATTTTAAATCCTCATTGTTATGCTATGATAGGGGATCACATTATTCCTACTTTTTAGACAGGGAAATGGAAGTTGCAGTGAAGTCCTTGTCCAAGGTCACTGGGCTGGATATCCTAAAACTTAAGCTCAGCTTAACCTGAACTCTGAAGCCTCTTCTCTTAGCCACTACACCCCTCATGATAAATGGCCTATTTCTTTAGGAAGGGTAAGTCAATGATTTTGTTTTTGTTTTTAAGTTAGTAGATGTTACACTTTAATTCAAGGAGATTGGGATTTGAGCTACTCATACATTCTCTTAAGGTTTCTTTTACAACATTAAAAACCCAGTCCTATCAACATCTGCAGGATACCTAGAAATGTCCTACATGAAAAATCTCCTCTACCCAATTGTCAAGAAGTAATCAAGTTAAAATCCCACAACTGCTATCCAACAGCTAATCATTTTCTCCATTTTCTCTTCTCTAGTTCATTCACTCAGTCAATAACCACATCATTTAGAATCTGTTCACAGATTCTAAACACATATCAAATAATCACACTTATTTACAATCACAATAAAAGTACCAGGAAGGAAGAGTATAGAAAAGTTTTGATAATTTCTAATGAGAAGTTTGGCTAAGAGAGTAAAGGAAAGTCAAGGAATCTGAGATGTACAGGAAGAACTGGGAGTTAATTTTAAAGTAAGGACAGAAGAGTTTTCAGTCCCAGTGAACGGCATGTGCAAAAGCCCAGAGGTAGAAGGGAACCATGTACTCAAGGCCCTGACAAAGAGTCAGAGATAGCACTGGCCAGGCTATATAGGGCCTTGTGGACCCCAGTAAGAGAAATTAAAGGGCCCAAAGTACGGGCATTACATGGTCAGATCTACATTCTTAATGATCACTTTGGCTGTGTCACACATCAGCAAAATGACTCTGAAACAACCTTTGCAGGATATAGTTCAAAGACCTCTACCCTGGATCCTGTAAAACAAGTTTGTTTCTTTTTTTTTTTTTTCCTTCTCTCTGAGGTGTGGCACACTACCCTGGCTGTGAACTAGCTCCCCTTCTTTATCAGTTTTGTTTGTGAAGTTTAAAGGCCAGATGTTTTTTTTTGAGACAGAATCTCGCTTTTGTTGCCCTGGCTAGAGTGAGTGCCATGGCGTCAGCCTGGCTCACAGCAACCTCAAACTCCTGGGCTCAAGCGATCCTCCTGCCTCAGCCTCCCGAATAGCTGGGACTACAAGCATGCACCACCATGTCCGGCTAATTTTTTCTATATATTTTTAGTTGTCCGATTAATTTCTTTCTATTTTTAGTAGAGACGGGGTCTCGCTCTTGCTCAGGCTGGTTTCGAACTCCCGAGCTCAAACAATCAGCCCGCCTCGGCCTCCCAGAGAGCTAGGATTACAGCCGTGAGCCACCTCGCCGGGCCAAGCCAGATGTTTTAACAGGTCTGGGACCTGTTTTTCTTTCAATACTCCTCAGTAAACTACCTCATCTCTTTCTAGGTCTCACCTCTGTAATCTTTCCAATTTACCAAGGTGCCTGTGGCAAAAGGTAGAACAATCTGTCCTTTCCGGCTTGCTTATATTAAGTGCAGAGACAAGCTGAGAAAGAACCACAAAACATTCTCTCTAGCACCCCCTCATCCTCAATCCAGCACAGTTAAAAAAAAAAAAAAAAAAAAAGCAAATCTGAGACAATATGACTCCCCCAGTTAAGTTTCCTGGAGTCCTTAGTGCCCTCTTGGCCACACACCCCCTACCCCCAACCCAGTAGCCCTGGCCAATGAAGGGCTGGCTCTGGTTGGCTCAACTCCAAGCTTGCAGAACTGCTTTCAGTTTCTCCACTACAAGAAGCTTCACTCTACCCCACCCTACCCTGCAAAGAGTTCTTAGCAGCCAATAACACTTCCTCCAGGACGCCATTCCCAACCTACCCATAATCCAGCCCACGAATTGCCCTGCCCTGAGTCCCCAGACCACTCCAAGAAAATAGTTTTTCAGAACTTCATTGTAATTTGATTCATTGCCTGTCTCCCTAGGCCCACCAACACACACACACACACACACACACACACACACACACACACACACAAGATCAGTAACTCCTGAAGGACAAATTCTGTGTGTCACCGGCTCAGCACCTAGCACAATGCCTGGCACCCAGTTGAGAACCCTCTAAATATTTATTGAATGAATGGGTAAATAAAAATTGACACTTTCATAGTCTCCTAGCCTTTAACAAGAGAGGTTTTCCCTTCCTATAAGTTGGGTCTTGAATGTAAACAGAAAACACTCAAGTCACAAACTTTAGAAGAGGTGCTACATCTCACTCACAGAAATTTGAAAGAATCAAAAATATCAATACAGGGTACATATGCTCATGATTTTAGAAAGAACCAAAACTGCAGGAAAATTTTCAGATATTAAGGTGACAGCAGGCAGCAGGGAGAAGAGGTGCTGCTGATGAGAATGCAATAAATAAACTTAAAAATAAAGCCAGGACAGAAACACTTAGTTGACACAGTTCCTACATGAGTCCACTCTGGCTGCAAAACACCAAGCCCACCAAGTAACTGAACTTGTTCTTGATTCTGTACACAACTCTCCCTTCCACCTGCTACACTCAATGTCCTGTTCTCCCTAGTCTAATACCCTTCATAATCAACTCCTGGGCTTCCACCTTTCTTATAAGCATACCTCACACTTTATCTTGTTTGCATTCCTTCTGCAGAAGTAACAACCATGTGGCATTATTATTTCACAGCTTCTGTTTTTTCCACTAAATTCAAAAGGGATTAATAATATAGTGTCCAGATCTGAACTAGGGTCTTGAAACTCCGAATGCGGTCTGTGGACTAGCATAGTATCACCTGGAAGTTTGTTAGAAATGCAGATTCGTGGGCCCACCCCAGACCTACTGATTCAGAAGCAGCATTTTCACCAGCTCTCCAGGTGATTCCAATGCACATTAAAGTTTGAGAAGCACGGGCTAGATCCTATATTCAAGAAATATTTATTGAACCAGTATAGGACGCACAGGCGCTCAACTTGAACATGAGGACATGTTGTGGTAAGAGAGCAATAACAGGGCATTCCACTTCAATTGAGAAGCTCCTGTAAATACTAAAAACAGTATCACCGAGGAACAACGTTCCAGCAGCACAAATAATCCTGACATCAAAATTCAGAAGTGTCCACTGTGGGAATCTGGAATCTGGGAAGCTGAGCCTGTTTGCAGCAGGCGGGAAGAATACATGGGAGGTGTATGAGTGTGCCTCTTCCCCGCCTCAGCCACAGGCCGCAGGAGCTGACAAGGCCAAGTCCCCGCCCCCCTCAGCTGTCACCCTGTCAAAACAAAGCCGCTGCTGACAGTGCAGGGCCAGCCTGCCCCGCGGCCTCGGGCAATCCTCCCACCTCAAGAGCACGGCTCCTACATCTGGATCTGCAGCTGGGGGCCAGGGGGTGCCTAAAATTGGCATGGAGAAGGGATAACAAGAAATGTGTGTCCTCAAACAGAGCAGCAGCGACCGCCGCGCTAGGCTGTCACCTTGCCAAATCCTGTTTACACCCCGAGCAGCTGGGACAGCGTTTTAACTAAACAAGTAATAATACAATAATGACAGGGCTGTCACCGCGCGCCGTAGCGCCTCCGCCCCCAGCCGAGGGTGCCAGGCGCCACAGGACCCTCGCCGCGGACTGTGCCCACCTTCCCACCCCGCGCGTTCCTCCCCTTCGATTTACCAAAGCGCCAGGAGTGCACGAGTCTTCTTCGCCCTTACTCCTTGCACCCAGCTCCTCCCAGTGCAGCACGGGAAGAGGCCGCGCGCAAAAGGGACCACTCAAACCCACCAAAAGATGTTTCCCTGGCCCTGGGTTGCCCGCCACACAGAGAGCACTGCTCCACTCCCGGGAAAGTGCCTGCGGCGAGCTCCTACAGAGCAACAAAGCCCCAGAGCAGCCCCGGGGCGCGGATGCCGAGGCTATTCCTTTCAAGGCGGAGGAATGAAGGTCTCCGTCTAAGTGATCTCCCTTCTTAAAACCCAGCAGGACTCCTATCCAAAAAGAAGCTAATTGGGCGCGGGCGACGAGAGCACTTCCGCGGTGCAGCGAGCCGGCCCCAGGCGGGAGGCGGGAGGCGGAGGTGGAAGCGGGAGGGGGTGGGGGCGGGGGTCCCGCGGGCTGAGCCCCTAGCGCCCATCCGCGTGCCGCCGGCGGCGAGCGGGTACCTTGCAGGCGGAGTACACTCCGAGTTTCTCCAGTTTCTTGGCCCGCGGAGCGGAGCGCAGTTGCGCCTTCTTCACGGCGATCCGGGCCGAGCCACCGCCTCCTGGCCCTTCGGCCGTGCCCGCCGCAGCCACTGCCGTCGCCGGACCGCAGGCGCCCGAGCCCCCGGCGGCGGCGGCACAGGGGGAGCCCTGCGGGGGCGCGGGCGGCAGCGCGGGAGGCTGCGGGGGAAGCGCCCCGGGCCCGGCCCCCGCCCCGGCTCCCGCCCCGCAGCCGCCCGGCCCGGCCCCGCCAGCCTCGGACATGCCGCCCCGGAGCACGGCAGGAGGCGCCGAGTGTCAGGCGCCGCCGCCGCCGCCAGGGTCTCCCTCTCGGGCTCTCGTCGTCGGAGAGCGAGACCCTCCCCCCACGCCCTCCCGCCCCTTCGCCCACCCCTCTCCCCGCCCCCGCCCTCCCCCGCGCGCGCCGCTTGCAGGGCTAGCTCTGGCCGCGGCCCGCGCGCAGAAGGTGGTGGTGGCGGCGGCGGCGGCAGCTGCTCCCCCAGGAGGGAGGGGACTAGCGGCTCCGCTGCCGCTGCCGCCGCCGCCACTGCACACGCCCTCCCCTGGTTCTCCTGCCCCGGACTCTGCTCCGCGCCCTGGCTACGGACATGATCCCCGGGGCTGCGGACTAGGGGTGCGTGCTGGCGGGTGCCAGCCTCTCGGTGTGTGCCGGGGCAGGAGGCCCCTCACAGCCTCTTTTCCGCTGCCCGCGGGGCTTGCACCCCCCACCCCAGTGCCTCGACACCTAGCGCTCGCCCGCCAGGGGGCGAGGCCAATCTCCGGGTGTGGGCGAGGGTGGGGGGAGGGGGCTGGAGCCCAGGCACCTGCTGGCCACCTCCCCCCTCCGCGGCCCCCCTTCTGACCCTCGCGCTCCCAAGCCCGGGCAGGGTGGGGGGCTCACACCCGGGTCATTTGTCCTTTCACTCTGTTCCACCCTCTCTCGGAGCGGAGATAACTTCCTCCACCCTAGCGGGAGCCAGAGGAAAAAAAATATTTTTGAAAAGTACCCGTCCATGCTAATCCTTTTCTTTGTTGCTAATTCACCAAAATAAAGGCGTGATGTTTTCCATTTCTCTTTTTAAATACTTTCTGTCAAACTTTTTTTGTGTGTGTGTGGTTAATAACGCTTTCTTCCTATAGCTTTTTCTGGACCAAATCTGCCACAGGAGGGAAAAAAAAAAATCAATATTTTCTGTAATTTTTGTTTGAAAGTGCTGGTTAGTAAAAAGAATGATTGTCTAAAAGGATTGTCAAAATAAAAACTATGAGCAGTGGAAAAAGTTTGAATATAAAAAGTTTGTTAACAGGGTTCATCTCTAGGTGGTGGAATTATAATCTATGGCTAAGACTATACTTTCAGGGATAATTTCTGTAGTTCGTTACTAAAGAAGTTTCTCTGAACAAAGAAAAAATAAAATATAACCTATTGCTATGTTCTTTTCTATAATGTTACATAGTTTTCTAAATTGATACTACCAGTATGCATATTAACCAGGAAAAAAAACTTTTTAAGCAGCATTCAAAAGAGTATGTATCGATTTTGGCCTCAAACTTGAAAAAACAAAACAAAACACTAAACTCGGTGTTTTCAACTATTGTTGAAACTGTTGTTTTCACTGTTGTTGATGACAATAAGGGTGGTGTTTAGTATTGTCAACAGCGCACATTTCAGTTTTGTATTAGAAAGTCGCACACCATTGCTTGGCCTTTCTAACGCAGGTTTTAAAACCCCAGTGTTGTTTCTCAGGCCCCTTCGCAAGTTGCCCTACTTTTGTAGAGCAAGTGTTATCATATGTAATATGGGTCATAATGTGCTTATTATCAGATTGGTTGCATGCTTTGTAGCTCTCCCTAGCCAGACGCCTTAACAGATGTGCTTTTCCCTGGAAACATTCTCCCTCCTATCCCATTTTTTGCAGTAAATTTTCTCTGTCCTTTTTCCAAATTCCCTATATTCTTTTGATTTTTAATGCGGAGTGATATGTAAAAATGGGGAGCTAGAGAGGTTATAGATCTAAAAAGGGATATTACAAAGGGCAAACGGAAATATCCTCTCCCAGCTTGAGTCCAGTCTGAGGGTCTGAAGTGATAGACTAGGTTCCATCAGGACAGTTAACTTCAGTGTTTCCTTTCTTAGCTTGATGTACTTTGCTTTGCCACAGCTACTCTTTCCTGGCTCTGTGGAGGTGTTTTGCAGACTTTTGGCCATTTTTGTCAAAGAAGCAGGATGGGAGTCTTTTTTTTTTTTTTTTCTTTTACAACAAAGCAATGGTTATGGAAGGATAAGAGTCTTAAAGGCTGTGAGTCCCTTATCAAACTCTAACATGATTTAACAGATATTAATAGGGGTTTGGGTTCCACCCTCTGAGCATTTATCAAACTGATAAAATGGACCATTTGAGATCGGTACATTTCACTGGATATAAATGTTACCTCAAAAATTAAAAAAAAAGAATCATAAGCATTGAAAACACTGAGCTCTAGCTAATGGTGCTCATGTTGAAAGTTTAGGGGTACTTTGTCTTGCTGTCTCAAGGTACACTGCGTACTTTGAAATGCATCAAAAAATAAGATAGATGGATGCATCCATGCATGGACAAAGGGAGGATGAACAGAGATGTGATAAAGCAAGTAGGGCACAATATAATGGTAGAATCTAGGTAATGGGTTCACTGTACAGTTCTTTCAACTTTTTTGTATGTTTGAAATTTTTCACAATAAAATGTTGAAGGGGACCCAGATTTAATATTAACTTACCCATCACCTCCCCCTCCCAAGCCACTGTCAGAATTCAGGAGGCAGGCTATTTCCAGGGTGTTTTAAAGCAGAAGTAGACAATCTCATTTCAACGCACCCTGAAAACCATTACTGTCTAAATGGTGAATGGTTCGTGACATCAACTGAACATTATTTTTCATTATTTTCCTGCTCAGAGCACCCAGATGACATACTGCCTTAGGGTGAAGGCCCAGAGTTTCAAGGCCAATTCAAAGTGCAGTGCCTTAGGAGCACGAGGCAGAGAAATTTGAAAGGTGAAGGATTCAAGAGGCTTGTTGCCTCTTCATAATTAGGCTGTTGTGAGCATTTAGTAAGCTCTTTCTGTGCACAGAGCACCTTTAAGAAGTGAGTGCCAAAAAAATAAAAGCAATATTTTCATTTACAAAGTATCTACCACTTACTGAAGTAAAAAAGGCAGGTTCAGGCCAGACGCGGTGGCTCATGCCTGTAATCCTAGCACTCTAGGAGACTGAGGCAGGAGGATCGCTTGAGCCCAGGAGTTGGAGGTTGCTGTGAGCTAGGCTGATGCCACGACACTCTAGCCCGGGCAACAGAGAGAGACTCTGTCTCAAAAAAAAAAAAAAGGCATGTTCAGAAAACAACAAGGGAGAGTAGGAATGGTAGGGGCAGGTTGACCAGTGGAGATTACTTGTGATATATTCATACTGTCGAATATTATACAGCTGTTACAAAGAATGTCCTTGATATACATGTAATAATATAGATAGATCTCCAAGAAACACTGTTGAATAACCCCCCAGTGCAGTTTACTACCATTTGTGTTAAAAATAAACTCACACACAAAAAAACTCACATTGATATATAAGTACAATTCTATGTATGTTCAATAAATGCATAGAAGAATGCAAAAGTAAGAGAAACATTTAGAAAGATACATAGGAATCTCTTAAAATTAGTTGTTTTTCCCTGGACACCCTTGAGAGTAAAACTTATCTTTCCCATTTTTATACTCCCAGTTATTCTCACATAGTAAGTTCTCCATAAATACTGGTCACTTCAGCCTGAAAAAGCTATCTGGAATCTCTTCATATCTGTCTCCATGGACATCACTTCTTGTCCAGACTACTAACAACAAGCTCCCAACTGGTCTCTTTGCATTTGCCCTTGCTCTACCACAATCTTTTCTCCATAATCCAGAGTTTCAAAACTGTAAATGCAAACCTGACCCCACAATTCCCTGCTTGAAACTCTCTAATGGCTTCTCATAACATTCAAAATACAATCTCAGCTCCACAACATGAGATGACATAACATGAAGTCAACAAGGCCCACCTCTTCCCGTCCTTCTCCCTGGTGTGCAACATCCTTCAGTCAAATGCAGGAAGTTCTTTCCTACCTCAGGGCTTTTGCATTTACTATGTTGTGTGGATACCCTCCCCCAAACAGCATGGCTGGCCCCATCATCCAGCATCCCTTGCTCAGACACATCTTTCCATCTGAGAAAGGCAAGTTTTGTGACTTGCTCTTGTTATTCCATCTAGCTGGTTTTTTGCCATATTTCTTCCTACCAAGCCCGTACTGCTTCTATAAAGCACCAAGAAAACTAAACCCCCAGATGGATTGAAATCATCCTCACTGGAGACACAGATTCCAAGGGTACAGACCAAGTGGTCCCAGCATAGGTTTGGCCCAGTTCCCGGCCGATGACTGACATCCTGCCTGGCACAACCACCTGCTTTTAGAGATAGAGGCTGGACATGTGTGCAAAACAGAGAGATGTGAGGTCTATGCCTAAGTGGAACTCCTTAGGCTAACTTCTCTCTGAAGAAAGTAGCTATGATTACTAGACATTTATTTTAATAACCTATAAAATAAAACCTATCCTTCTAAGGAAAAATATGAATCCTAGGGTAGGGAGACATAAAAATCCCCTTCTCTGGTTTTTAAGCATTTATGTAATTAAATCATTTCCAGCATGATTCTTTTTTGTTGAGACAAAATCTCACGCTGTTGCTCAAGCTAGAGTACCTTGGCGTCAGCCTAGCTCACAGCAACCTCAAACTCCTGGGCTCAAGTGATCCTTCTGCCTCAGCCTCCCGAGTAGCTGGGACTACAGGCATGCCCGGCTAATTTTTTTTCTATATATTTTTAGTTGTCCAATTAATTTCTTTCTATTTTTAGTAGAGACGGGGTCTCGCTCTTGCTCAGGCTGGTTTCGAACTCCTGAGCTCAAACAATCCTCCCGCCTCGGCCTCCCAGAGAGCTAGGATTACAGGCGTGAGCCACCGCGCCCGGCCTGCATTCTGTTTTAAATACTAACATATATACTTGTTTTACCAGCTTTCCTATCATTTACAATAAAAGTACAATGTAAGTAAAAGAAATGAAACCTGCTATCTTCTGAATTCAGGCTAAATGGCTTACTCCTTTTCTAAAGCAGTACATGAGTATCTATTGCTTTAAGCAACTTGAAAATTATATAAGGAAATCAAATTTCCAAAGAACCAAACTTTGATATGACCTAGATTTTCTGGAATGATCTGAATATCATGAATTTTATTCCTGTTAGTGCCAGATAATTGTTTAAAATAAACCTAAGAGGGATTCTAATTCCCTAAATGTGTAAAAAGGTTCGTATATATAATTTCACAAATTAGGAAACAAAATATTTCTCAGCACAGGTTCTGGTTAAGCGTTCCCTCAAAAGGGAAAACCAGCTTCAATTCCTTAATCTTAATTCCTGATTGGTTTAGCACACTGTTGCTGACGTTTTAAGTCTAAAATCAGAGTTCAAAGCTGTATGTTCCAATTTATAAAATAGGTACTATATATCAGTGACCATGTGGGGTAAGAAAAACAAAGAAAAAAAATGGAAAGTATTCTGTATAGTAATAAGATATCCTTCCCAAACCACAACAATTTTATATTGTTTTGAAATATTTCAAACATACAGAAAAATAAAGTGAGTGATATAATATCTGTATATTCACCAACCAGATTTTTAATAATTTAATTTTCCAGATATATATGTAATTAAAGAACTGTTCTTTCATATGTCTATCTCATTTCCCAAGTGCCTGCCCACCCCAGAATTAAATATGTATGGAAGTGTATCCTTTTTGTTTATGGTTTTTCTTTGTTTTGTTTTGTTTTGTTTTTTCAGACAAGATCTCTCTTGCCCTAGCGGGAGGGCAGTGACTCATACCTCACTACAGCCTCAAACGCCTGGGCTTAGGTGATCCTTTTTGCCACAACCTCCCAAGTAGTTGGGACTACAGGCGAGCTCCACTGAGCCTGGCTAATTTTTCTTTTTTTTCTGTAGAGACAGGGTCTCTCGCTATGTTGCTCAGGCTGGTTTCAAACTCCTGGCCTCAAGCAGTCCTCCTGCCTCAGCCTCCCAAAGTTCTAGGATTACAGGCATGAGCCACTGCACCTGGCCTGTTCGTGTTTTTTAATGTTCACAAAATAAATCCATGGAGAAGGGTTTGGTGAACTTTTACTATAAAAGACTAAATGAAGAGGCTTTGTGGGCATAGTTTCTGTCACAACTATTCAACTCTGCCAAGGTATCGTATTCTGGGAAAGAAAATGTGTTTATCTTACATAGTTGAAAATCAAGGAAGATGTTAACATGTTATAACTACTCATCAAACACTCCCGTCTTTCCTATTACTGTCTAAAATTTTTCATTTTAAACCAACTTCTGGTTTTACTGCAGTATATAAGTTTGCTAGGGCTGCCAAAAGAAAGTACCACAGATTGGGTGGTTAAACATAGAAATTTATTTCCTCAGAGTTTTGGACACTAGAAGTCCAAGATTAAGGTGTCAGCAAGGTTGGTTTCTTCTGAGGCCTCCCTCTTCGACTGGTAAATGGTGGTCTTCCTCCAGTGTCTTCACATGGTCTCTCTGGGTGTGTCTGTGTTTTGATCTCCTCTTGTTCCAAGGACACTGGTTATATTGGATTAGGGCTCACTCTAATGATGACCTCATTTAATCTTAATTACCTCTTTAAAGACAATCTCCAAATTCATTCACATTCTGATGCACTGGGGATTAGGACATATAAATTTTGGAGGGACACAATTCAGCTCTTAACATGCAGTAAATAGACCATTAACATTTCCAACATATTTTAACAATTCCCATGCTCACTGTACTCCTTCCCCCTGTGTTAGCTTTTTTTCTTGCTAAACATTATCTATCCTTCAGCAGTTCTTTCAGAGACGAGCTAAACCACTACTTATCCAGTCTTCTGCTTAGGGAAGGCCTTAAATCTATAGGAGGTGAAACATTTACTAACTAATGTATTATATCTGGCTAGGTTGAGTTTAATATTTTTTATTAGCCTGTAAAGAAAAATGACAACACCAAATACATTAAAATGGTATTTGGTGGCAATTTTTCAAAATAAGCATTTATGATGTTTTTCAGACTAAAAGAAAAAAAGAAAGGAGACAGAGCCCAACATACTCAAATCTTCAGCTGCTTTTATGCCTTTGTCTTTCTGTTATGATATTTATTCTACTATTTTTTTAAGTAGGTTTTTTAAAAAGTTAATATACTTTAGTTAGGTACACTAATTTTAATTGTTTAAGTCAATGATTTTTTTTTTTTTTTTTTTTTGAGACACAATCTCTGTTGCCCTGGCTACAGTGTGTGGTGTCAGCCTAGCTGATAGCAACCTCAAACTCCTGGGCTCAAGCGCTTCAGCCTCCCGAGTAGCTGAGACTACAGGCATGTGCAACCATGCCCAGCTAATTTTTTCTATATATTTTTAGTTGTCCAGATAATTTCTTTCTATTTTTAGTAGAGACGGGGTTTCCCTCTTGCTCTGGCTGGTCTCGAACTCCTGACCTCAAGCGATCCTCCCGCCTCAGCTTCCCAGAGTGCTAGCATTACAGGCCTGAGCCACTGCGCCCAGCCAAGTCAATGAATTTTTATACAGGCATACACTTGGTTACTTGCCACCCGGATCAATTTATAGAACATTCTCAATACCCAGGAAGGCTTCCTTTGGCCTCTTTTTAGTCAATACACTAAGGCAATCACTATTCTGGCTTTATCATTATAGATTAGTCTTGCCTACTCTTGAACTTCATGTATATATGATCACACAGCATGGACTCTTTTGTTGTTGGGCTCTTTTTTGCAGGTCATTTTTTATGACATCCATCATGTTGTTCCATATAGCCATATGTCACTTTTTAAGTTGCCATGTAGTATTCTACTGTATGTTTCTCTACCACAATTTATTTATCCATTTTCTTTTTGATAGACATTTCCAGTTTTTTACTATTATGAAGAATGTTGCTATGGATTTTCTTAAATGCCTTTTTGTGGTCATATGCACTCATTTCTCCAGTGTACACACATAGGGATAGGGCTGTTGGATCACAGGGAAAGTGTACACAGAGCTGTAATAGATTCCGCTGGTTTTCCAAAGTGATCATATCCATTTAACCCCTATCCCCAGTGTATGAAAATGACGGTGCGGCAAATCTTCATCAAACTTTGGTATTGTAATCTCTTTAATTTTTTCTTTCTTGGTTATTACATAGTAATATCTCTTAATGGTTTTACCTAAGGTGTAATAACATTGAACATGTTTTCATTTGCTTTTTGGCATTTTATCCTCTTTTGTGAAGTAAATGTTCAAATCTTTTGAGTTTTCAGTCTTTTTCTTATTGACTTGTGGTAGATTATTTTTTTTTTTTTTGCTTGTGGGGGCATGTCTTCTGGTGAGGACTGGTAAACCTGCTAGACAAATTGTAAAAGAGCTGTAACACTGAAATTTTTAATCTATATTTTGGATTTGAGTCCCTCGATGGATATATGTATTGCAAATATCTTCTCTTAGTCTTTAGCTTGCTTTTTCACTTACTTAATAGTGTCCTTTGATAAACAGAAGCCCTTACTTTTATCAAAGTCTGATTTATCAATATAGCATTTTCTGTTATGTTCAGTGCTTGTGTCTTTTTTTGAAAAATAAACAAATCTTTATGATCTAGCAATATTTATTTTTTAAAAACCCCACACAAGATGCTACTCTCTCACTTCCCCATCTTCTTCCTCTTCTTCAACACCCCTGATATAAAGGACATTATTACACCTTATTAAAACTTCACCCAGATGTCCAGACAATGCCTCATGTATGTATTTTTCTGTATTTGCAAGCTGCATGTTCATGTAGCCATCTACAGATACCAGGTATCCCTGGTACTCCATTCCCCACTTAAGTTTCACCATTCCTGTTAATCCATTAAGGAATGGTTTGGGATTGAGGGGTAAACTCATTGTAACTACAGGCAAATGCGGCAGGTTACTCCCCACCAACAAAGCTGCCATCAGTCTCTCCTGACCATAGCTACCTTTGGTCTTGAACCCCTGGGCTTCAAGAGAAAATCGCTTTTGTGTCTTATTTAAAAACTCTTTGCCTAATCCATGGTTGTGAATATATTCTCCTATGTGTTTTTGAGTTTTATTGTTCTTATCTTTCACATTTAGATCCTTGTTGCATCTTTCAATTGCTGAATATAGTGTGAGGCAACAGTATTTGTATTTCACTTTTTAACTATCTATTGCACTATTTCACTTTTTAACTATCATCGTTAAATGTTTGGAGCAGAGGGAGTGCCTTTATGGCATGACTTTATAGCCAATCTTTACTGTTAGTTCACGGTAGTGCTTTTAAGAATCATCTTGGGCCGGCGCGGGCGGTGGCTCAAGCCTGTAATCCTAGCTCTCTGGGAGGCCGAGGCGGGCGGATTGTTTGAGCTCAGGAGTTTGAAACCAGCCTAAGCAAGAGCGAGACCCCGTCTCTACTAAAAATAGAAAGAAATTAATTGGACAACTAAAAATATATAGAAAAAATTAGCTGGGATGGTGGCGTGTGCCTGTAGTCCCAGCTACTCGGGAGGCTGAGGCAGGAGGATCACTTGAGCCCAGGAGTTTGAGGTTGCTGTGAGCTAGGCTGACGCCACGGCACTCTAGCCCCGGGCAACACAGTGAGCCTCTGTCTCAAAAAAAAAAAAAAAAAAAGAATCATCTTGTATCTCATTAATGACTGTATGTTCTTTAATTAATTTTTAAAGTAGCATCACTCTTAAGCTCAGGCAGGAGGAACCCCTGCTCTGAGACCCACAATTTAGAGAGTTCCTCATGTCATAAACATTCAAAAAAGGGTGTGTGTGTGGGTGGGTTTCTCTGTCACATGGTATAACTTCTAGACAGGGAAACCCTGAAAACCTAGACATTCACCCTTCTGCCTAACAGTCTTCAAGCCCCAGGGAGACACACTTCCTCACATCTCTTGCCCTAGATCCTCAAAACAAAAGGCACCTTCATCAGAATGCTGAGAAGTTTTTCAGTGAGAGAGGCACAGCTTTGGAGCGCAGGAAGAATTTGAGTGGCAGGAGTGCTTAGGTAAGAGAAAAGACAAATTAACTTGTCAAATCCTCCCTCTTATCGTGAATGCAAAAGATTCTTGCATAACAAAGTATTGTTTCCCAGAGAGCCAAGCAGCCATTTCTTGCTTTTCTTTGTGTTCCAATTCATGGTTCTGAAGAGCCTCATAAATTAGCACAGTGTTCATTAACATTGCACTGAGTGGCTGAAGAACATTTTGCAATATTAATTCATTTTACCCTTAAATTTTTATGTGTAGAGATCTAAACATTACATATGGAAAGCACAACATGGATTCTTTGGCAAATAGATTAACATTGAATGCAAAGACTAAATAGTTTAAAACTATTTTAAAAGGCTTCACCAAATTTTCTAAAAAGCTAATAAAATGTTCAGCTTTTTAAAGTAGCTTTGACTAAAATTTGATAGTGATTAACTACAACTTCATTTCGTTATTTATTTTTGTCTTGCCAACACCTTGATTTTATGCTATTTATTTTTGATAGATTATTTTGAATATTTTAAAAGAAAGATAACTTTTTTAAAAAGTGAAAAATAACTAATTTTTGGACTTTTTATATTTACTATCATTCACATGTTTTAGATGAAAAATTTGTACACTTTAACTACAGTTGCATTTTAAACCAGGTACATGTAATGATATTTTAACCATGTATATATCTTACTTTGTATTAATTAAAAATTAAACAAAAAAGAAGAAAAAATAAGTCCACAAGAAAAAATAAAGTACCCAAAACAGCGTTTGGCAAATGGTGGGTATTCATTATGTATCATATGTTAGGGGTCCCCTTCTGCCACCCCTGCTTTCTCTCTCTTGGTTTTTAGTTTATCTTTTTTTTTTTTTTAAGACAGTCTCACTCTCTTGCCTGGGCTAGAGTGCTGTGGTGTCAGCCTAGCTCACAGCAACGTCAAACTCCTGGGCTCAAGCAGTCCTCCTGCCTCCGCCTCCTGCGTAGCTGGGACTACAGGCATGCGCTACCATGCCCGGCTGATTTTTTCTATTTTTAGTTGTTTGGCTAATTTCTTTCTATTTATAATAGAGATGGGGTCTCGCTCTTGCTCAGGCTGATTTCGAACTCCTGAGCTCAAGCAATCCTCCCGCCTCGGCCTCCCAGAGTGCTAGGATTACAGGCGTGAGCCATCTCTCTTGGTTTTAACTTGATGTCAGATTAAACATTATTTGTTTTCCCACTCTCCTCTCTCCAAATACAAACATGCATATCCTGTTTGGAATTTGATTGCCTTATGAAACAAGTTTAAAATTTGGATGACAACAGAGCCAGCAAAATTGACAGGAGACATTAAAGAAACATAGTGGAGGCCAAATGGAAAAATTAGGTAGAAGTTCAATTGTTTAAGACGACCTGTATTTTTAATAGAATTCTGATATATAGCATCTGCCAGGTAATTCCTGGCATGGTGAAAAGTCACAGACACTCAGAAACATGAGTGGAACCCAAGGAAATTTAACTCTGCTAACAATTTGACTTAACAGGTTGGGTTGCCAGCCCTCAGCAAAACCAAATGAAAGCTTGAGGAAGTTAGCACTACTGGCCACATCTACACATCTTTAAACACACACCTGGAACGTTTCAACAGCCGGAATCCAATTTCTGAGGTGATTCATGAGAAAGTCAGATTTGTTATAGCACTCACCAGTAATAAAACAAGAAGAGCTAACAGTTTTGGGAAACTTACCATGTGCTAGGAACTATGATAACCCCTTCTTGAAAAATATGCTATCAAATCCTACTAGGATGGAAAAAGCTATTCTCCCATTTTAGAGATGAGGAACTTGAGGCTCAGAGAAGTTCGATAACTTGCACCAGAGTCTCTCTTGCTCTTAATGTTTTGACTTTCAACTGATGACAATAATTGTGGTTGCCATTTATTGAGAGCCAACTAAGGGCCTAAACACAGGTTATAACTAATTTAATCATCACAACAACCCTATATTTGGGAGCACTTTACAGATAAACAAACTTCAGCTGCAGCACCTGGAATCACATGCAGTAGAGACAATAATATTAATAGTTATCGATGCAGGGTCCCTCCCCAACCTCCTGATTTGAAAGCAAAAGGGAAAGTGGGCTCTCTTATGTTATCCTGTTGAGAATCCTGTGTTTTGTGATATTTTCTATTCCAGAGTAGCATTGTTCAGTACACCTTTCTGTGATAATAGGAATGTTCTCTATTTGCTCTGTTCATTATGGTAGCTACTGGCCATGTGTGGCCACTGAGCATGTGAAATGTAGCTGGTAAGACTGATAAACCAACATTTTAATTTTATTTAATTTTAACTAGTTTGAATTTAAATAGCAGACCTGGCTAGTGGCTACCATATTGGACAGTTCTAAAGGGGATGACTGCTTGGTGGCCAAGCTCTCAGCAGAGTCCAAGAGTTTCTGACACTTTACTCTCCTTTCTCTTAGCTCTTCTATTATCCAGCTTCTGGGGCATGTATCTTCAGACTAAGGCACTGCTAGGAACTGAGGATAAGGGAAAAGCATCGGGATCTCCCTTCTTCCCTTTATTAATAGGTAATTATTTAAGTGCTCAAACACTTATTTCATTTGTTCATTCATTTATTTAACAAAATTTATGGAACTTTTACTACACGGCAGGCATATCTACTATGAGTCTATGGCTGGGGTTAAAATAGCAAGCAAGACAGGACTAGGGAGACAAGAAATTGTTTAAATAATCACACAAATACGTCATCACAAACTTGAATAGAGGCAGAGTCTAAGGAGCTGTGGAGGCATTTGACAAAGGGTGGAGGCTTCATGCGAGCAATCAGGAAACACCTTTCTGATGATGCTGAAGTTCAGCTTGTGGAAGTGAGGTTTTAACGGAGAAATGAGGAATGAGTTAGAATTAACTGGGTACCGATGGGGGGAAAAGCTTTCAAGGTGGAGGGACTGGCAGGTGCAGGCCTGAGGTGGGCAGAGGGTGGACACATTTGAGGAACTGTGCTGAATGGGAAGGTGGGGAGAGATGAGGCTGAAGAGTCCGGCTTTGGCCAGGCCCCATAGAACTTTGTTCATCATATTAGGACTTTCGAACTTTATCCCAGAGCTACTGAAAGGTTTTAAGCACAGGAGTGACATGATTAGAAAATAAACTTAAAAAAAAACCTTGGCTTTTTACAAGGACCTCATTGTTCCCTGTTCCTTCCTTCCTTCCTCCTTCAGCAGGCAGGCAGGTGACTTCCCCAGACACAGGGCTGCAGCTGGCCCAAGAGGCAGTTCCTCAGAACAGATTAGAAGTGCTTGGTCCTGGGCCCAGGGGATGAATGGAGCTAAGCTGTGTTCTTTCCTCTAATGCTCTGTGTGTTCTCTCTGTGTGTTTCTGCCATTAAATAAATACTGGGGTATTTATAAGAACTGTCAGCAAACCACCCACTCCATTTTCTCTGCCGCGGGCCCAGAAGCCCTCAAACAGTAACAGCCTGTACCAGAATCTCTGTGATATCCAATGAGACAGCTCCTAAAGGAATACTAAATATAACTCTCTTCCACACTACCGCCTCAACTTCTACGATCATAGATAGTCATGGAACCTCTAGGAAACTTGAATTTGACCCGCAGTTTTCAGCCAAACAAGGGCAGCCTATTGGACAGGTTGGCTTTCAATATTTTCTGTCTGGCCACCTTTCCATTCAAAGCCGTATATATTTGATAGTCCTGCAGTTGGGAGGATGACGAGCCAAAGAATTGATTCCAGTGGGAGAAAGGCAAGAAAAGAAGAGTGAGAAATGAGAGATTAAAATTTGTGAATACATTTGGACTTCAAAGGTTTCAAACAAAGTAAAAGAAACTCATAAGAAAAATGTACCACCGCCCTTTTCTTCCAAAATGAATTCATTT